GGATAATTTATGGACCCGTTTTAAACTCATTTGGTCCCTCTGATAATACCTTTGGTATAACCTGATGAACATAGTTTAAAAAAAAAAAAAAAGGGGGAAAAAAAAAAATCAGAAGTAGTATACGGATTATAGAAAAAAACAAATAAAAGAATGGAAGCAAAAACTGTAATTTTTTTTCATTAAATCTCGAACCCAGACAAATAACATAGGACAGATTTTTACTAAATACATTTCTGGAAGCTTTGACATCTATGACTTGCTTCTGAACTTTTAACACCATAGGCCTTGACACTTGCCAGACTTACTAGATAAGTTTATCTGAAATGGTTACCTGTTATGTTTTGAAATCTTGTTTCAAAATTTGTTTCATTTTAAATAAAATTTCATAATGACTATGTGGAAGTCCTCATACGTATCAGTCCTGCAAAATCCACTTACTGCTTGTTTTCAGGAACTACTGACAAACCAGGTTGCTCACAGCTGTCCATCATCTTCCACCACTGTGTAAGAGGCAGGTGAGTTATTCTGGCTCTTCAGCTGGCCGTGACATGCCAGTTTTGACAGACTGATACATGTGTTCACTAACACAACACCCATGTCACAATCTGTCACCCTGAATCACCTCCAGAAAAGCTCTCCACAACAAGGTTTATCAAAGTGCCAGTGGGAAAACAAATTTAAAAAATAATCAAGAGAGATTAAGACCCATATGCTAGAAACAATTAATTTTAAATACTGAAGAAAATATAAAATATTGAAGCATTTGATATAAAGCACAAATGCAAGTACAGAGGATCTGCCTTCTTTGCTTATCACGCTTGGAAAACAGTGATATTTTGAAACTTTAGTCCTGCAATTATCCTAAAGAAGACTTTTTATTTATTTAAACAAGGGGGCATGTTTACTCTTCTGATGCAAACTATTCCTGTGATGTAAATGGTTGTTACAAAGGAGACCTAGCTTTCATACTGTATTAAACATGCCAAGGGACCAATATCTTTGGCAATGAGAGAACTGCAGAAATTTAAGGATGAGATTATTAGATTTACTAACAGCAGAAACATCTTTTTGTTTTGTGTGCAGTACATACATTGAACTCAAACACGTTTCATTATATTTTCCACACCTCCTCCAGGATTGAGTACAGCACTTGGTCTGTACTGCTTGATTTTTATGAATTTACTCAAAGCTATTCCTGGTTCTCACTTAGTTTTTAAATTAATTTAAATTTGTAAGCCAAGATAAACAAAAGTTTCTGGTTTGTGACCGAAGTTAAAATGCTGAATGCTTAAGAGATAGCCATTGGCTCATGATAAAACAAGAAAAGTTTAAACTCTTAGGTTAAAATACAGCCATAGCATAGAATTATCTATTAAAAACCTAATTTTTCAAAATATAATTCTCTGAACATGTTATACATTAAATATTGAGGAATTTTTCCCTGGAGCTAAATTTTACCAAGAACACTAATAATATTCATTAAAGAAGTTAAACAAACCACATAGTATCCAGAGACAAAAAAGGGTTAGAATTAGGGTCACCTTACTACAGAGTAGCTTTACCACCATTAAGATGCAGGTTTTCCCACTTAATCTTGAAAAATATGTTCATATTTACATACAGTATACACACAGTAGAGGCAATTGATTGTCAACACGTGACAAACATATGTACCTACCCACACACAAGTAAACCTCACATGGTGAGAAAAACCCCTGTCCCAGTAAACTCCAGTATTCATAAGTAGTGCAAATAAATACTTTGTCAGAAAACATTTTTTTTTTTCCCTCACTGTTTTGATCTTAAAACAGGTACCTTACATTTCAAGCTAGCAGGAGTATGTTGGAAATGTTGTACTTCAGACCAACACCCTTGCAAACTACAAATACTAGATCTAATGCTTACTGGCTGCAATGTGATGTTCAGCAATACAGAATGAAGTATGCTGTTAAACTTTTCCAAACTCACATCAGAAAGTGTGTTCAAAGAAATCTGCATTTAAAATGGACAGTGACACAAAAAGTCTCCAAATGAAAACTAACAGGATAATACAGCAATTTAAACTGTCATCTTGCAACATTCATTTTAATAGGTATTTTTACCTCATCACTTTGCTGCCTGCAGGATGAAAAAATGGCTCATCATTTATCCAAAAAGCTGCCCACAATAAACCTCTGAAAAGTATAATCAAGCTGGAGTTAGCAATCCAAACATTTTATATTTTCTTAAAATTATAAACCCCAATAAAAATAAGTGGCAAGATGGCAGCATATTGTGATGTGGTAAAATCTGTATCAAGGAATAATTCATTTATCCCTACTTAAATGTATATATACATCGAAAAATGGTACCCACAGTTCCTCACCTAAGAACTACACATATGTGCATGTGTGGGCACACACAGGGAAAAATCGTGGTGTTCTGCTTTTTGACCTCCTTTTGTAATGCTGCAGCTGAACTGAAATAAGGCAGAAATCTAATTCTTGTGCCTCATGTCAAGTACCAAATGTTCTACAGGAACACAGAGCAGAGTAAATTCCGGATAAAGAGACTTAAATCTAAATATTTTTTTCACAGGTGTCAGAAAATTTAAGTATACTTGGGATATGTAATCAGAAAGCCAGCAAATTATTCCCCTTAACCCATATCCCAGACACTTCTAATTTTATTTCTGCCACAGTACTTTGAAGTATACTGAGCTTCAGTGTATAAAGTTTCACTATGACCTTAATGCACCTTGGCATAGTCTGAGACACATCTAGAAGCATTAATGATAAACATGATATGCAGCACTGGCAAAGCCTGTTACTACAGCTGGTTTGTAGATATTTGTGATGACTCAAGTTGTAAGACAGGTGTTGAACAGTCCTTGTCTGAAAAACAACAAGACAAGCTCCCACACAACTGAAATGTTGCCCTAAAAGGGTAATTTTGAGAAGTTCTAGGTGTACCACATCACCACATAGCAAAAAAAAAAAAAAAATTAAAAAAATTAACCCCCCTATTTTTTTTTTACAAGGATAAATTTGAGCTCTTTAAACATCCTTATATGGGACAGGTATATACACACACAAGAATGAAACAAATACAATGGATGAAACAATAACAAAAGGCACATCATCAAAATAAGAACTCTAAAAATATCTTAAAAGGTAGTTTGACTAAAGTTTTAACCAATTTGAATTTATGCATGTACATTTGACTTCTGTATCTGAAGTCACTGAACTGTCTCACTTTCCTGAAACAGTTTAAGTGTGGAACTCTACATATAAGAATATTTAAAAAAAAAAATAAAATAAAAAAATTTGTAAACTATGGCTCAATACCAATTTAAACATTCTAAAACTTCTGGAGGAATGCTCATAATGGCAAATGTAGAAAGTAGACAACCTCGCTAATGAGCAGCTCTACTTTTTAAAATAATAAAACTAATTCTTAAAAAATTAGCTGACACTCCTGACCTTTTCTTTCCCAAACAGTTATGCAAATTATTTGGTCCTTTTCAATTTACAGTGGTAGCTCCTTAATAGAATTTCCTTTGTGATGGTCTCTACAAAATATAAACTTTGTACTTTCAGCCACAACTTAACCAATTGCTTCTGCTAGCAAAACTTAATAAAGTAAGAGTTTAACTATATACAGTTTTTGACATTTTTACAGAATATGCCTCATAGCTTAATCTCAGCTTTGCCTTTGTTCCATCTCTGTGTGACTAGCGGTCTTTAAATATTAACTTCAATTTAGAAACTGTAAGGTTTTTTTTTCCTTCCTGTTTAATTCACTTTATGAATGTAAGATATGACAACTACCAACGTGACTCAAACTACAAAAAACACCCTTCAAGTATTTAAAGTAATTTTAATGTAAATTAAAAAAACCAAACACCTTATCTAAAATAGATTCAAGAGCAAAAAAAACCCTCCAAAACCAACAAACCAACCAAAGCCAGCTACCAGCAATGCAACATCACATCATTGTCTTGAATTTTTTTTACAGACTATCATTCAAAGATAGCCTGCCATTTATAACTGCGCGTGTTTATCCTTCACAGTGACAGCAAAACCAAAGTGCCCACATGAAGACTGAAACTCTTTCCTGTGGGCTTACAGTTTGTAAACTTCCAGCATATCATACATGACTCAGCATAGAGGATGAGCTTTCCCCTTCTCTCTCCAGTCCAAAAACAGAGAGAGATGGAGGGAGAATGACAATCATTCTCCTATGTAACCAGAAATACGCTTCTAAGCAGTGTTCTCTAGCATCAGTACCAGCCAGTGCCCATACACCAGTCATATACATTCAAGACTTGGCTCAATGGCAGAAGTTCTGAATTTCCTAGAGTAGGGCCAATCCACTAAAATAGTTTAAAAAAACTCAGATTATATATACCAAGGCAATTAAGTGTGATCCTTCTGGGTAAAAAGGACTGTCAGTACCCCTTTGTACAAACAGTGTTTCTAGAAAAGCATTTCACATTGAAGCTTCAGTGTTTCCAGCAAACTATTGTCTCTATCCCTGAGACAGCCCCTTAAGAGTATGATCTGTCTGGACTGCAGGATTCTTCAAATGACTTCAGGGACACCGAGAAAGCAGCTGAGAGGGGCAGGGGTGTCCAACAGCCATGATACCATAGAAAGCAGCCTGAGAAATACTCTTTACCCGAATACACCTTTCAATTCAGTGATCAGCACCTCGTAAGAACAACAACAACAAAATGGAGCAGAGCTAGCCATCAGTTCCTGGGAAAGTAGTTTCCCTGTCACTTACAAAGCAAATTGCTTTAACAGCATGGTGTTATCTAACTTTTAGTCTATATGCAGAATGACCCTGTGTCCTGGAGGGGAAGACATGTAACATGACACACGGCTACAATGCCACAGAAGTGCATCATAACCTACATTACCTATTTAGAATTCTTTCTCTGAGGGAAAACAACTTGTTAATAGGCATGTCTCAGTTGCTGAACATCAAAAGCTTCTGGGATGAGAGACTGGGGGCAAGCAAGAAAAAACTACCCTCATTTTAATGAAAAAAGTGCTGTAGGCAGCCAGGAGCAGCAATGACAATCCCCTCCCCAGAACTGATTGCAGAGACTCAGAGGTCCAAAGTCACACTAGAATCTCTGAGGCACTCCTGGTTCTGAGAAAGAAAAGTCATGATCCAGTAGTCTTTGCAGTACTGTAGACTGAGAAAACAAACCCGTTTGTATTTCTTAACAAAGCCAAAGCATCATCTCATAGGGATCACATTCACCATTTCCGCCGGTGTCTCCAGTCTCACAGTGTTGAAATGGGACTGATCAGCCTACGATGGATTGCACATCACCCAAGGAGAAAGGAAGGCATGGAAAAAGGCATACAGTACATTATATACTGCTTCACAACCATGTTTACAAGGTGGGGAGGAGGATGAAGGTGAGGAAAGAATTATTGCTGTTTCAGTAATACAGTATGATAGCTAAAACAAATCAAACAAGATCACAACAGTATTTTCACACTGCAGGATGACGGTTCATGTTTTGCTTAAGGATGAACTTGCCTGGGGATTAAAAGGGGAAGGAGGAGTCCTAAGGAGAGAGTCAAAGTTACACCTGGGATATCAGCTGCATATTGCAACTTGGAGATCGAGACTGCTTGGTCAGGGGAGCTACTGGGGGAAGGAAATCTTTACCTTCCCCAGCTTGGCCTAGTCGGTCCTCCTGTAGGCTGATGGTTGAAAACCGATTGGTGTTGCCAGCCGCTAGATTGGTAACACCCTCTGTACCAGCTCCAGCACTGGAGCCTGCCTGACTGCCATTCACACAGTCAAAGGATTTACTGGAGGAAGCACTGGCGGTCCTGATCAGGCTCAAACTGTTGGCTTTTGGCACCACCTGCCCAGCAGGCAGGCTGAGGTGTTTCTTAGCAGGTGTCATCTCAATTATATCTGCACCAAGGTCAGTGGATTGGTGCAGGTACTGCCTCTGAGCTACTGAATCTCGAGGGCTCTCATTGGATTTTGCTGCAGAAGAGGTTTCTTTATCCTTAGCAGAACGCCCACTTGCATTTTTCCTTAAGCTGCTCTTCTGGGATATGGATGATAGAGGTTTGGTCCCAACCGGCTGGCTGCTGAGAGAAGCTCCCGATGAAAATCCTTCATCAGCATCATTAAGGTTTATAGATTCCTCTCTTCCATTTACACCTTCAACATCTATTAAGAAAAAAGAAACAACCAAAAAAAGCCCCAAATCAATTAGAACACATAGTAAACATTCAAGTTAGATGAAGATAAGGATGCGTGCAGAACACCAAAAGAAACCTCATTTGCTAATCCACCTGGTTTCCACTTGCTTAAAAAATTCTGGTTCTCAGCTAATAATCTTCCTGTCATATTTAGCAGAATAACAGAATCTACCAATATATAATCCCCAAGCTTCATTTCCCTTTCCTCTGTGTTACTTTTATCAGAGCATCTCTCAAACTTCGTCTGCAAACAAGAAGAATTAGGCCCCACTTGGTTAATTTGTTTTAGTTCTGTCTGCGGAAACTGGTGCCCATTCTCCTCCTATATGTGACTGAAATGAACCCCAAACAATAAAGCGTCTTTTGGACTATTTTTCTCCTATTTTAAGGCAAGATCTAAGCATGTTCAGGATCTCTTCCTGCCAGAGAAAGTTCTGTCAAGTGCTCAGTAAGCTTCAGAATTAGACTTTGTCCTAGGCCAGTAATCACAATGCTCCAACAGAGGCAGAAGGCTTCTGTTGTGCGTAGCTGCCACTTCAAACAACGTGACTGTACTTTCTGTTGGAGATTAACCTAATTTCTAGTTCTTTCTCCTCCAGAGCTCAATCCTCCCTGCATTTCCAGCAATCCTATCTAGGTGCTTCCACCTTATTTGCTTTTATCTCAGCATCCAGATTCTTCAGAGGAAAAAAAACAACCCTTGCATTAAGAGAAATTTAACCTCTGAAATACTTCCTGTTGTAGAAGAGACACTGTGCTTTTGACTGGAATATCAAAGAGGAAACAAAGAGCCTGATAAACTTATTTCTTAAATCCTTGTTTTCAGGTCTATAATATGATTATGGCTACACACAAAGACTTTAATAACAACAACAAAAATCTTATTCCAGTCCCTTTTCTAAGCTCCAATTACTCAAAGAGTTATTGTTTCAGTAGAAAACTAAACAGCATTTAAATTTCAAAACTGAAAATGGAGCTTGAGGTTTTGCTGTGTATCTTGTTTCAATGGGAAAAGGCCATAAAGTTTAACTCTGATAGCAAAAAAAAAAAAAAAGATATTGAGGCTGGAAGAATTTTGGGTTTCTTTATAAAAGCTGTGGAGCCTGATTATTTGCAACAAATCTGCAAAGCCTATGGATATGTCCCAGCTAAAGCCACTGTATTGCTTTACTGGCAGTTCACTCAACCCAGATTGCCACCAAGCAGACATGCTTAAATCTCTTTTGTGGAATGGGGAAAAAGTGGTGGCAAGGATCTAAGAGATTCTAACATTTGAGTTAAAAGCTCATCCTTTCATGCTGATCGTAGCAGAGCACTAAGGAACTACAGGAACATTTTATGTTATGGCAAGCAGAACAGACACAAAGCTTTCAGTGTTGTTTCTGCCTCTGTGTAGCAGGAATATAACCAGATCCAGCTTCACATTTCTGAACTGTAAAGCAAAAAGAAAACTTTACAGGGAGGTTTTATTATTCTATTTTAAAATTTATTTCTTTTCAGGAAACTTTGCCATTGGAATTGCCGTTACTATCTATCAGCTTACAGATGTTCAGCCATCTCCAAATCAGACCATTCTCAGGCCTCTCTCAGAATAATGCAATGTGAGATTATTCTGTAGTTTTATATGGTTCTATTTAACTCATTAACCTCCCAGAAGCAGGAAGGTAATTGTAGTTCATGCTACTCCAGTCTTCCTTGGTAAAGCTCTTAGCCTTAGAAGCAGCAGCTTCTTGGGTTTCCAGAATACTATTAAAATGAAGGGTCAGTTACTTGCTTTAGCTTCCTGTAACCATATTTAAAATTATATATACTTTCCTCTCCTTCCACCCACCCTGTCTGGTCAAATTAGGCCTGCATCTTCTCACTGAGACAAGTGCATTTTCTTACATTAGACACTGATATATTTTATTGACAAACTACCACATCTCCATTCCCCTCCCACCAACCTTCTCTCACATAATCAAAGATGCTAATAAAAATATGACATAACTGGAACATACTGAAAGCAAGAGTACTTTTTCAATAAACCAACATTTATGTTTCTTTATATAATCATGCAAGGCTGGATGAAAGCATGTTTGATTACAAGCAGCAATAGCAGCAGCTGAAGTCCCCTCTCAAGCCCTTCTGATTCAAATGAAAGATGTGTAACTTGCAAGAAGGTACCTCCAGACAATACTGCTAACCTTTTTGCTATTACAAGAACATCAGTCACCTTCAAAGCTGATGTTAAAACACCATTGAGTAACAGGATGCTAAACCACAACATTCCTATTCAGGGACAGTGAAGCAAAAGAGTCACATTGAAAAAGTGGCATTTTATCCACAGAATTTTAAGGCAAGACTGAGAGGGGTTGTTGCAAGCTTTTGGTTGCTGCAACTATACAGAGGCCGGCCCAAGCAGCTCAGCAGTGCTCAAAAATGAAGAAAATAGAGAAGACAACATGCAAGAGAATTTCTGTCTAGTCAGATCCAGCTACCTACAGAAGTTCTCAGTGGGACTTAAGTAATTCAGGAAACACATTCTTTTCCCAATACCTGTTATTTTTCCTCTAAAAGCTACCTACAGAAAATATTTGGGTCCTTACATACTCTGTTTGGGGGGAAAAACATGATGAAGCCATAAAATTTTCTTCCCCCTGGTACCAATAGACCAATGAGACAATTAAAAAGAAAACAAAACCTAAAAATCTACTTCTCCCAAGCACTTTTCTCCTGTAAGGGCAGGGAAGAAATAGACCATGCAACCTGACAAATAGTATCAGTAGTTCTACAATGTGTATTCATGACTCTGTTCTTAATCAGAATCTGTCCACAAAGAAATCGTTATTTATGCCTGTATGTAATTATCCTGTAGATGTAGGTACAGCATTCTGCACTGCCCCAAAATAGTGCACATAACCACAGCTGCTACCACCTGGAAGCAGAACACCTAACAGGCATTACTGTTATTCTTGACATCTTTCACCTTGTTCCATTTCTTTGACCAAAATATTGATCTAAGGAAGAGGGTTTATACAGCTTTTTTAATTTAGTTTTATTCTGTTTATTCTTCCCACATCTGAAGGTTGAAAAGTCATTAGAAATTATTAGTCTCTCATTATACTGCTTGTTATCAAAATGGTACTTATGATAGGGAATTTGCTAGCTGAAACTTTCTGTGCAATCAGCATTAGTAAAATAACAGACCACTATATATACACACACATTTCTATACTGATAATCAAGAAGCCCATTCCTTGGCTTCTTCCCAGATGCCATCAACTGGCAGAATTCAGTTCACCCAAGTAAGTAATTATACATTGCTAATGTTACAGAAGTAAAGAGCATTCAACCCACTTCTGTTAGGTAAAGCATATGGAATCATGCTTTACCCAAGAACATGCTACATTATACAGATGTCTTAAGGCCAGAAGACCACATCTTTATCAACTTCTTTCCCACTTTTTGTCTGTCCCAGAAGGTTCTCTTCATCCAAGGACTTCTCCATATCCTTCAGGTCATGCACATGCAAAGTTTAGTAAAATGGAGTAAGACCAGCCGAACAAGTAAATTTAGGAGAAGACAGGACTCACTTACTGAGCATGCTCAAATGCACCAAGGAATAAATTATAAACCTGCACTGAACATTTTTAGGCAGCTATCCTCTATAGAAGCATGATGTCTTAATTACTGTTTGATAGCAACTCTGATTAAGGATAAGAATTCTGTGATAACACTACATTAAATCTCCAAATTCTCCAGAAGAACAAACCTGAAACCTATGTACCTATCTCCAAATGCACAAATAAATCTCATTTTTGATCAACTGATATGCCTATAGAGGCTGGAAATACCAACGGAACGTTCAGATAGAAAAAAGAAAATGAAGATAGAACACTTGAAAGTATGTTTAGCTAAGTTTACAAGAAATTAATTCTCAACTCTGAGAAGAAATCATAATCCAAATTCACTACCCAAAACTACATTTTTTATGGCGTAAAGATGAGAAAATTAATAAATGAACTTAACCAAAATAAATTTATACCAGCTATTCTATCTGCTGTTCTTGGTTGCAGAACAGACATATGAAGTCCTACAGCATTTGTGTGGACAGCATGACTGAGAAAGAAATCAACAGATGTTTCTAAAGTTTTTAGAAATGTGACAACTTGATTTCTGCTTGAAAAGACAAGCACTTTTTTGGTACTTGTCTTTAAAGCAACCAGTTCATTCATGTAAAGGAGTTGTACATGTATGAATTTTCAATTAAAGAATTACTGGCAAATAAAAACAGCAACAATTGTACATCTGTCTTAGATAGGCTTGACCTTTTACAGGAACAAGAAATTTCATTCCTGGAAATTTAAACACTGCAGACTTACAAGACACTACTGTAACTAAGTTGTAGCCAAATCCATTACTCTATATTGTCTACTTATCAGGACTAGATTAATGTTCATCTGGTGCATTTTTTCCTTCTGAATATTAAACATGCTCAGTAATAAAAAGTTTCCAAGCAATCCCAAAGCTCCTCCTGGCTATTACCCCTGTTTGTTTGGGGTTTTTTGCTTTTTTTTTGCCATGCCAAGCAGTCTTTCACCACACAGATGCAAGCCCCAGGCCAGCCCACGTGATAACAAAAGGTAGTACCTGACCTGATGTTAGGTATATAGGGGATGCGTGTATTGCAAAGAGAAGCTAATACACCCTGGGATAGCGGAAACACACACTAGAATGGAAAGAAGTTCTGCTTGGGGATAGGGAGCCAGGATCCTCCTCCAGCAACTGCCTCACTGACTTCTGCCTCCTCATCTCTGTCCTACCCTCTGTTGTGGCTGCTGCCAAGGTGGGCTCCGGGAAGCCATGCTCAGGGGTCCTGCGCATCAGCACCTCCCCCTCTTGCTCACGTTTGATCCCTAGGTCTGTGGAGCCGTGTTGGATCGGTGAGCCAGGTATGCTTGAGTCAGCCTCGTTTGAGAAGTCAAAGCCATCTGGGATTCAACATATAACATTTTAGTGCTTTTTCTATTCCTTTCTTGGCATTCCAACCCAGGCAGGGAAAAGAGAAGATTTATGTGAACACGGAACAAACATAAAACACTACCCATGCTTAGTTAAAAGTTGTGAGAACATCCACAGAAAGGGACAGGTGGGCTATACTGTAGACCAGAGACTAACAAATGAGTATAATGTCAACTACAGCGAAGACAAATACGTAGAAATACAGCTATTTCTTGTCCTGGACATCCTGATTCAGCTGAAGACCACAGGTCATCAAATCCTTTTGCACATGACACAGGGGAGGAGGACAAAAAAAAAAAAAAAAAGGAAAGAGGACGACAAGAAAACAGGTAATCTTTTTTTACAGACTTTTACCCTCACATTATTTTTAGCTTGTTGTTCTTTTTACCTTCAGCCATTTATGCAGCTTTTTTTAATCAGTGTTTTATACATGCAGCAACAAAGCTCTGTAAGTATGACAAAGTGATTTCAAAGCAAGCTTTTTTGCTACACCTAGATGAAGGTGTCATCATATCAAGGTAAATATTACTACTTATTAATTTTTTTTCTTCATACAGTCAAGCACGCCTCTATACAACTTAAGTACTTACTGAGGGAAAACAAGGACTAATTCTAAGCTATCCAAAGCTATTTTGGACTTGGCCCCTCTCTAAATTGGGCCATGTAATGGAAGGAGAGTGACGTTCAGCTTTGCCCTCTCCCACTGCCTTCAGCAGTTTTAGGTAGCTGGAACCCTATCGAGGTCTGGATAATACCATTCATTCCCTGAGTGAGCTATTTATGATGGGAATCAGATGACTTTTAGTGTGGATTAAAGGACTCAAACTCTAAGGCAAATTCTACTCCTACAGTTTTATGCTGTGTTACATGGAGAGGGGAAAAATAAAAAAAGGCTTATTGAACTTTTTCCAGCTTCTCTATTTTCTCACCTACCTCATGGGTTATCACCAAATCAAAACCAAAACAAACACCCCAGATGTTCACGTCCATGCACTGCTCTGGAGATGTAAAATACTATACATCGTTATGGAGTATCACTTCTCAAAAACAAACAAACAAAAAAACCCAACCAACTGTACTGCAAACACTCAAACTCGGAAGGCAGATTACAGTGATGGTGATGAATACAGTACAGTGCTGCCTTTGGTCCCTGCAGAGGAAGCTCACCTTCTCTCCTCCAGCGATGGCGGCGGATAGAGGCTGTTGTGATAGCAGTTCGGGAGATCCTCGGCACGGTTGGAGTCACTTCTACTTTCAGTACCTTCTGGCCTTCTTGTGATGCATCAGGAGCATCGAAGGGCAGCGAGTTCTTCATGGCATTGGCAACCTAAGGTGATAGTAAACTGCTGTACTGCTACTGTCCTTCATTGCTCTAATGGCAATCTTTAGATCTCTTGCTGGATACAGACAGGGGAACGACCCAGAATTGTTAATTATTCCAGATTCCATCCAGATGGACGGTTCCATCTCCAAAACCAGCAGCTGATAACTACATTGAAAAACTCATCACAAACCTATACCTCAAAAATATAGCTGGGTTTTCTTTATTTTTTGAGGTCATTTACTTCATTGCAAATTTGCCATCTGTACTGACAGAGGTAACAAACTCCAGAAAGGTCTCCAACCAACTGAACAAACTGAAAACTGAAACTAAAACAAGAGGGTCAGAGACTTGAGATTTAAACCAAAACAATTATGGAAAATGTAACTTGCTAATCTCTGTAAAGTCCTACCTAGCAACAGTTCCCACCATAATTTGTGCAGGCTATACAGATTACAAGAAGCATTATGAAAAGCAACTTTGTTGCCTCCCAATGGATTTTCTCTTGTATCATAAAAAATACTTGATTTTGCAACTTGAGAGAACAAAGTTCACCACCTGGCAAAAGAAACACATTTATTTAAATACATGTGACTAAAACTTAGACAACACCATGCTCTTTTCTTAAGAACAGGCATTTTGTTTACTGTATACAGATTTGTGGCTAGCTGATGGAGTAGTATCGACTGTTTAGCATGTTATTACAACCAAGCCATTTCCCAGTTTTATGTTGTAAACAACGTTTTCAGATGTTCCCCTCAACCTAGTGACAGAATTAATGCACTTTTAAACCTCATCAATATTGGCTTGATATTCTGAGGTTGCCAGAGGCTTTGGAAATGTAAAGGACATCTAACAAATTCCTTGAATTCCCAAAGCCAAATCTGCTTAGCTAATGAAGTCATCTTTCACTAGCAAAAATGCAAACTATGAGAAGTCTACTAAGCCACTGGAACAGATCCTATTGGCAGGACTTGACTGTCTTGTGAAGATCTCAGATAATGTTTGATAAAAAGACTGTATCAATGCATATGTCATGCCATAAAATGTCCATGAATTAAAGGTGTTTATCTGCATTACAATAAAGTAAAAATTACTTTCCTACAGGTTATAACAGTCAAACCATCCAGAAACCATGAGAAGAAACAAAACTGTTTCTAACAGTAAAGCCACAGATCACAGGATATTAACTAAATCAAAGACTTCTCACTTCCTGGGGGGCTGGAATGGCTTCCTGATAGCTGGTCCTGATCTCCAGCTGCTGTTGTGATCCTGTAACTCCCCAATAAACAGCACAAAATACTGTTGGCACCATCACAGAACTGCTCCTTATCATCCTGCCTTCCACTTGTCCAACATCGATTTGCTCTTTGCTAGCCAATTCTCTCAGCCTCAACACTTGTTTATGAAGTGCCCTCCTCTTCACAGAGGACTTTTTTCCCATGCTATTCTCTCAAAATGGTACCAACTACATTCACCCTATCCTGGAGCACATTATAGAATTCAGAAACTCATTTTTGCTGTCCTGAACCAAAGCAGATCAAGTTCAACAGTATACAATGCTTTGCTTTCCCTTCTGCTACTCCCTAGAGCTGCGCTCTCTCTTGAAGAGATACCCTTCTCAGCATTCAGGATTAAAATCTAAACATTAGTAGCAAAATGCTTCTCAACAGGACCAGAAAAGTGATAGAGAACTTTTGCCTGTTGAACCTTTTAACAGCTGGCCCTTTCTAACAGAACAAATTGTACTTCTGGGGACTGAACAGAACCATATGGAGATAAAAATTAATGCAACAGTTAAACTTTGAAACAATCTAAACAACCAGTTTGAATGAGTCACAGCCCTTCTCTAACAGAGAAAAAAATCCCAACCCACACAACCTGTGATCCTTCAGGATGCAGGGGAAAAAAAAAACCCTTGCTCACTACATCTAATCCATCATTAAAAGGCAGGAAAATGAACAAACAGCACAATTCAGACTTGGCAAGCCAAGTCTGAAACTATCAATGACAAAAGAGAGGTGGTTTCAGGCCAGACATCCACTTTTGCCTACCAGAAAGAAGCTCTAATGAAAGAACATCCAACAAAAGCAGTAAGGACATCAATAAAATACACTGGATAAAGGTGCTGTCACAACATGGACTTGCTGATTCATGCTTCTTGTATACTGGGCTAAGAAAGCCTCTGTGTCTCTGCACTGAAGAGAGAAGTTTCCACCTCAAACAACTACAGAACTCTTGTGTTCAGAGGAAAAGACTGACTGAAACTGAGCTACTCCTTAGGTGCAGGCTAGCTCAGTAATATTGGGTCTTGGCGATTAGTTTCCTTCTGTAGAAACTCCCTGTTCTTGTGATTATGAAACCAATATTCAGTGTTTGTTAACAGAGATAATTCTTTTTTCCTAGAAAAAGCCTTTCCCTTGCATAGTTTCCACCCTTTCCAGCTCAGTCACTGGGTAACAGTGAAAGAAGACCACTTCTACATTACAAATATTTCACAGCTTTCTGATGCTGCTAGTTCAGCCTCTTTTTTTTTTTTTTTTTAAATCCACAGGCAATATAAACCTGTTTAAATAAGTGCACGGATCTACTAGATTGACAAAAGTGTTTCTCCAAGAGACATACCCATACCCAGGGACTGTGATGCCACGATGCTTCTCACTGTAATGATGACTGATGGTATTCCTGATGGTACTCCCATAATTATACAAATAGCTGGAGTACAGATATCTAAAAATAATTCTAATGTGGGGGTTTGCCTGAATATTAAATGGACTTCAAAGAATGTGCTCTTAGGAGGATGAACTTGAAACGTACCTGGGATACTGCACAGATGATATTTTATTTGGTGACAGTAGTTTGAAGTTTAAAATACTAAATTTTATAATGCTTCTAAACTATACACATCTCTTGGACAATGCAACAAGGTGAAAATACTCGGAGCTCTGAAAAAGCCTAACTGTTGGAATATATAGCATGAGGCAAAGAACATGCAGGTTGTTCTTTTATAAAACTGGTAATTTCTTAAAGCTGCTTTTTAAAAAATTGCTGTAAAATAAGATAGGAAGCAAGGCAATGATCAGAGTATTAAGAAGAAAACCCCACAGGTGTACCTGCACACATATGGATGAAAAAGAATCTGACACCTGGTGAAGGGGGGAAAACTGGTGAAGTCATGATGTCACTGACACCAGACGAGTGGATGGAGATGCAATAGTAGCTTTGGAAAAAAACAGACATTCTAGAAGAATCTTGCAATTAGAAGTAATCTCTAAGGACACACTGATTAAAACTGAACAACAAGGACTGAAAATTGTCCTATCATCAAGTTCCAGATCCTCCTACACACGTTTTAAATGCAGTAGTTTGATAGCGTAGCCCAATTCAGCAGGTTCAATATTTAATTTAAAGCTTTCAATCTGATGGAGTGATGAGTCATTTCCAAAAGGAACCAACTATTATAACAATTCAATAGATACCAAGCTTTTTAAAATGCAGCAGCGTCAGAAAGCCTGTAGATAGATTTTACAGCCAATATCAATTAATCAAGAGAAGAATTTTACATCATTTATTGCAGAAGAGAGATCTCAGATTGCCACATTAAAAGATTTTTCCCAATCCACTTCTTTCTCATTTATGTAAAAAGCAACGAAATTTTACCACTGTTAGTTCAGAGGAACATTAAAGGCTATCTACAGTTTGGATGCAGAAACAATAGTCAATTTTACTTTATTTTCCTTCATTTTCTCTCTTAGTTTGATCCTCATTCCTACATATGACAAAAAATAAAATCCCTCCATTCTCCTTTCTGTTAGCCTCCTCATTACATCCACCCGCATCCAGCCTAGCTTCACCACTTTTCCCATTTAATTTCTCTCTATGATCAGAAGTATAATAGAAACAAGTATAATAGAAAGTGAAAAACAAACCCAAAACAATCAGAAGAACTCTATTCTATTGCTGCTCCTCCAAAGAAGGTAAAGTTTAAGGTCTATGTGACTTTGATCAATCAAAATCTGACATTTATGCTGGAGATAAAGCTCCTTTTCACTTTCAGCTCTATCCTGTTGTTGCTTTCTCTACTGTATTATCAAACCATAACAGCATATTCTCAGTCCCACTGAAGGTCTAGAAGCAAAGAAAACACCTCTTTTGCAACCAATGTCCTATGACATACATCCATTTGGCTAAGCTTCTTTGAATCACCCACTGTCAGCTTATGCCAAAAGAACCAGAAACATTTTGATCCTGCTGCAATACGTTAGAAAATCCTAGCTTTCTGCATCAATGAGTCCTAGGAGATCCAAACACCCTAGCTTAATACTCAAGCAGAAAAAACAGGGTATAAATAGCTATGTTGAAAACACCAGCTGTTAACAACCACTTGCATTTGGGAGTGCCATAAATGGCCACAAATGCTTTCATCACCAGTCCACTTCAGGAGTGCACCCATACGCCTCTTAAACAAGGCTATAAACTGCAATGGATTGTTTCTTACCAGCAGAGGTTGTGAGTAGAGTTCAAGCTGTGCTCTGTAAATTATGTCCTCCAGTACCTCCTGGCCAAGATCCCACTGACCATTATATCTAAAAAGTAAAGAAAGATGTTTATCTTTCATATCTTATAAACTCAAACATGTATTTTTTCTGCCGAAATCCATCTCTTCATTTCTTTGCTTATGCAGGGAAGTCATCAACTGGATGTACACCCTTTCCCCTTCATGTCTTTAAAAATTATAGGCAAAGCATTTTTTCATTAATCTTGTTGGTATAACAAAAAGGCTGGTCCCTGTCACCTCCAAGCAAAGCAAAGTTGACGCCATAATCAGGACAAACTTCAAGAATGAAAATACTGGGTCAAGATGTAACAGTTAACACTATTTAGCAGAACTGAATTTCCATCAGCAATAGATTGTTGCTACCTCAGAAACTACCGACACTCAAGGTCTGCATTTCATCGGGTTATCTTGGCATCCAAGCTCACTATGCTTGTGAACAGAAGGTATTTTGTGTTTGTGGAAACTTGGGAAAAGATGAAGCCAGAAGCCTCCTTCAGCACCTACTGCTGGCTTTTCATCATCTAATCCAATGCTGGCACAGCTATTTTAAAATTATCAGTTGGCTGAGTGGACAGAGAAAAGCAAATACACTACCGAGTTATAAACTTGTGTTATGAATTTAACTCTTTTTTTCCCCAATGATAAACCAACTAGCATTTATATTTTAACTCATGTAAACCCAGACGTTTCTCTTTCTACAGGAAAGCCACCCACTTACATGGCGTAATAGACACCTGTGAGCAGCTGCACCATGAAGTCAGGATCTAACACCACTCTACCACAGTGCTCTTTCCAGCGTTTCTCGTGCTGCCGTGGAAATCCACTCACACACAGCCTGAAAAAAGACACCATTGTTAAAAAAGGCTAACCCCCAGGGACTAGAAATGACTTTATATCACACAGATTTTACTTAATATTCAAAATCTAAATAAACAACATAGAACATACTTATGTTGCTCGCCCAACTATTAAACTAGTTTTATAACTGTGCCTTGAGATGTGGCTTGCTGATAATCCAGTATTATTCCCATATAGCCATTAACTCCATCTGTTTTCTTCAAATCATAACCAGCTTCTAAAGAATGAGGGTGGCAAGATGTGTTTTGCCAGCAAGATGTGTGGCCAGCCATCAAGTAGAAGACTCTCCAAAATTCAGTAACTGAAACCAACTTTCCTTAAAGAAACATTCCAGTGGTATAGAAGAGAAATGTGTCATCTCCCATCTAATGTATGACAACAGCATGCAACCACCTTTTACCTAAAGCTAGGTGACACAGATACTGTATTCTTGAGAATTACTTTCAGCTGCCTTCTAAAAAAAAAAAAAAAAAAAAGACCCAAAACCTCAAACTTCTGACCCCTGAAAAAGGGCTTACCTTCCTATATACTGCATAGCACTGAATCTTCATAAAAAACCCAGACTAATTTATTAATAACTTTAATGTCTGAATCTTCATCATGGAAGCAACACATGGCCACTAACACATAACTGCTGCACTGTTTCAAAAATTAAAAATCCCTAGCCTGTAATATGTTTTCTCTCTTCTCTACCTAAAGAATAGATCTAATTTTCAGATGCAGGAAAATTCAACAGATTTGTCAAATTTAACATAGCCACAACTCAAGTGAAGATGGAAGCATGTGAAGAATTAACCCATTCCCATCAGAAAGCACAGGAGAGAAACCAAGCTATAATCTTAACTGCATGTGCATGTTAGTACAGAATATATGTTGTTAGAAGAGTCTGATCTTTCTTTGTTACATAACTAAACTGCTTGTAATACTTTTCTTTCATGGCAGTATTGTGCTGAAGCAAGCACACCAAAATCAAAACAACTTTTAAAAAAGTTTCCCTTTTTAGGGGTAATAGAAGAGAGAATTGATCTAATTTTAGACAAACCGCTTGTAAAAACAGGCATATGGGAATATCACATATACTTAAGGTTTTTCAGAACAAAAAGCAGGGATATTTGCCAAACAGATGTTTCCATTCAAGTAGAAGGTTATGTAAAAGGCATATATATGACTTTGAGAAAATTACAGTACTGAATTCTCCAGAAAGTGGAATGTTATTATCAGAGCAGAAAAAGGGAAGAAAAAAGTGGGGGAGAAACCACAAAACCAAACCCAAATAAATGAAAAAAATACCCACACCCAAACAAAAACCTGAACATTGTTCAAGCATTTCATATAAACCACCTTAAGAAGCAAGACATTAATATTTCAAAGTAGAGAAAATTGATATTTCTGATATTTTTAAGCTGATTTTTAAGCTGACCATACTGAAAAAAGTCTGAAAGATATGTAAATCCAAAAATGAAAATCAGTCTGAGTAGCTACAACTAATTTAAAAAAAAAAAAAAAAAATTTGCCTTTTTTTCCCCTTTGTTCCATCTGTATGCAAGCACAGCTTCAAATTTCTAATTATGCTGCAAGACCAACCAAGAGTTTTAAGTTATTAAACACAACAAGTAAATTAATTCTTTTTCTGCTGGATGAATATTTAGAAATCTAGATGCACCCCACAAGATTGTTTCAAAGGCAAGTGTCTCACCTGGAACCCATGCCACAAAGTGATTGGTAAGAAGAGGCAGGCATATAGACAATAGCAGAATTGTAACACAGCATAAGAAAGCTCAGCACCTCAAACCTGAAAACAGACAAGAACAAAACCTTGCATGGTTTAAATTCTTAAACTGAACACAAAAATTCTACAACTCAGTCTCAAAAAATACCCCACAGGAAAAAAGTGTCAGAGGTAAACACACAAATCCTGAAATCCTCTTGCATTATAATTCGCTAACTCGAAAGAGGCTATTAAAAGTTTCAGTATTAAATACTTAAAATTATTATTACTGAAAGCCACTAGCACATGCAGGAACTATGGAGGAAACTGTCCAAATATTGTTCCATATGCAGTTATAGAATGGGAGAAGTCCACAATGCATTCAAAATTATTTTAGCAGTTTTCCCAGAGCTAGCTTTAGACACAGGTAAAGCTGGCAGGCACTAGAACACCATGGCAACTTCTCTCATCCCTAGTTCTGTCTATTTCTCACTCACAGCTTCAGAGTCAAAGCTGAATTTTGTTACACTTCCAAGAAAATTTGAGTGGAAGATGACCCAAAAATATTCCTGATGGCCACAGAAATGACAGTGTGACTCTTCTAAATCAATTAGTAGAAGAACACACGAAGTTGGAACAAACAACAAACATACTATACCTCAAGATTACCAAGACTGTTCTTGAGATATATTTCCATGCTGAGAAAGGACTGAACACATAGTATTTAACCTTAATGTTTAAGGACTTATTGGCTGCCTAGTGAAGTATCTCTAATGTTAGAATACATCTACTTACCGGTTCTGTGCTGTGAAGGTTTCTCTTTGAGGATGAAGGTCACTGTAAACTACTCTGATGAGATCATGCTGACACAGAGCTCCTTCAGTTAAAGCCATGGATCCAATAGTAGAGGGCTAGAAGCAGGTGGTGGGAAGAGGAAGGAAGAAGGAAGGAGAAATCAAGTCATAAGTAAAAGGTCCCTGAAAGCATGAAAATTTCTAACCACCCAAGCCAAAAGACACACTTATCCTGTGATCTGTAAAAATGAAGATTATTCCAGAATATTGTAAATCTAAAAACATTACCTAACTTCATTATTATAAACAGCTTCCACACTTAGAAGCAATAGAGCAGCTGAGAGCAGTTTTCAGCTCTGATTCTTACATGTCCATTTATATTGTAACTTCATAGACCTTTTGTACAGTACCAGTAGAGAAAGATGAACAATTCCAAGTTCAAACAGCACCAAGGCGGAGTTAGAAGAAGGAAGACAATTTTTATACTACCTCCTAAGAGGCAAAAACACAGTTGCAACTGCAACACAACTAACCTCTGTTCAAAACAAGCACCGTCATCAACTATTTTTCAGTATTTACATTCCTTTTCTTCTCTAAATGCTACTGAATTTGATTACAATAATTGCAAGCTACTGATATCAAAAACCTACTGCAACAAGCTGCATCTAAAGTGGCCTGTTGCATCAAATAGATCCAGTTTTCATTCCTCTAATAAATCCAATTCTAATTTACCACAGCAGCTCTTACCTCATGATATATTGAGGGTTTAGATAAGGAAGGGATGGTGAAAGATAAAACTTTGTTGTTTCCATCTTTGTCAGCAATTTCCTGCATTAAAAAACAAACAAACAGAAGGAGATAGGACTTGAAATAATTTTCAACTCTTAGATGGCATTTAACAAATGAGAAGTTAGATGTCCCGACCTGATAAGACTATTAACACCTCGAGGTCTCTGTGCATTTGCAGAATATCAGCAAATTTACACACACATTTAAAAAGTGGGAAAGACCTGTGTCACAGACTATTTTGTAGAATCAGCCTCCAACACTTAAAAAACCAGCACTGGCTCCTTGATTAGCGTGACTTCATCACAAACAAAGAAGAAAAAACTTCTTTAGCCCACTTTTACATTAAAACATTTATTTATAATAGAATTGTACAGTGGAAAAGGCTAAACTTTAAGCCCAAAAGATAAATAGACACATGATGAGTCACTTGCTGACAGTGGGCTGTATTTCATAACAAGTGCAAGACAGAGAAGAGGTGAAATACAGGGGACTAGTAAAGTGCTTGTACTTCACTTTAAGGTTCAAAATGGAAAAGATTTCTCCTTGTCTTGCAGTTTCTATGGTCTCTCCAGTTAAGTATTGAGAAAATAACTATAGTCCTTCAGTCTCAGTATATGTGCAGAAGAATATCAACAACTAAAAGAAAAAAAAAAAAATAGCAGGAGGCACTGTCCCTTTTGAGGCCTCTTTCTTCCTGAATCTGGAGAAAATGAAGACATTACTGAAATGTGTGTAACCAAGTGCCATCATGCAGTGGTTTCAGCTTCCAATTCCCCTGAAAAGACATATTTGGGGGTGGGGAGAGGAGGGGATAGACAGTAGGCAGAAGTGACACATGAAGCATATCAACCTGACAATCATCTCCACAGAAAGCTGTATTTTTCAGCATTAAGGAGGGCTACTTAGTTTGCCTACAAACACAAGTATTTAACAGTTCAAGAAAGCCCACAAGATGATAATTTTTTGTTAAGGTTTACCCAAAAAGACTAATATTAAAAAAAAAATAATTTTGCAAACACATTCTTACTGAATCTTCATTACATTATGCCTTTCTCCAGGTTAAATATGCTTTCATGCCAGCGTATTATAATCCCAAATATGTTGTTTGAATAATTCACTTTATTCCTATTGGTCAGGGATGCAACACCTCAGGTGATTGCTTTCCTTGGTCATTCCCACTTATCTCACTTACCAAGTTGTAAATGCCAAGCAGCAATGCCTCAATGCAACCATTACTCTGCCTATCCCTGCTGGCAGTAAGACGCAGATACACCCAGATCAACTCTGGCAAAAACTGCAGTGTGAATCTCTTGAGTCGAACTTCAGAACTACGATAAAGTTCAAAGAGCTGGTGGCAAACAGGCTCCAGGAGCTGTGGAAAGGCAAAAAGGCTAATGAATTACTGTTAGGGTTCTCTAAAAAGGAAGAATGCAAATATAAGGGCTATAACATATAGCCACTGCAGCCAGTAAAAATTACATTCTTTGATGGCAGGTAAGTGAATGAACCAAACTGACACCTGCAATGCTTTTAAAAACATCTGTAAGGACAGATCTGAGGGGCACTGGTATGCAGTATTAGGAAATGAGGCCTTACTACAGCCACCATCATCTTGTGGTTTGCTTGTCTAGGGCTGTCAGTATGAGATTTATTTTCTATGCAGGCACTAACTTCAGGCATGTGACGGACACATGGCTTGACCTATGTGCACCATAAAATTTTTAATGGTGCAGTTGTAAGGTTTACAAAAGTACAAAGGTTAAAGATTAGCTGCTAATGACAGCTGCTAATGACAAGTCTGCTGACAGAAATATCAATTAATTTCTTACCCACAACTTTCTAGTCTCAAACCCCACAAGTGTGCATTTGTTCATTACAATGCAAACTGTTTTTTCCATCTTGAACTGCCCTTCATGTTTCAGCACATGAATCAAAAAAGGCCTTTATCAAGTCAGTCTGAGGTAAGCACGAGAAAAGACTTGCCATTTTGAGTCACAATGCCAAACCAATAGGTAAGACTGAACTGTTAATGAACAGGGAGGAGAAAAATAACCAACCCCCAAACATGTCAAACTGTCTCTTCCTTTCCCCTGACTACAAGATTTCAATACCAAAGTTAAAAACTACCAAAAGGAAAACAATTTCAAGAGGAATTCTGATATGGTTTGTGACTAATATCTAGAATTACATTCTAAGAAATGGGATGATCTGATCTAAGGAAAATACCCATGGGATTCAACGTCCAAAAAGATGGAAGCATCCATGTAACTTAAAGCATCTACATATTCATACAGAAGAAAACAAGCCAGAATCTCAAGAAAGTCTTCTTTCTAAATATACATGCTTTATGCAGCTCTCATATACATACATGATAATATTAAACATGCAATTATTCAATTTCCATAAGTGATTAATTTGAATGTTTGAAGAATGTGTAATGCCATATTTCTTCGATAACTTCGATATTTTAGTATATCACAAAATCAAAACAAATTTGACAATCTTCTATCCAGATAGCTACCTTAGGAGAGCATCAACCCAGAAAGGATGAACACAGTTTAATTTCTAACATACTGTATTCTGGTCAATGAAGCATGCCATTTTTAAACCATTGATTACATAAGTCATTACAATAACATCTACATAAAATAAAACTTTGCTATCAGACAAAGCTCTTCTTATACAAGGCTCTGGTGTAAGCACCTTATGTAAAAAGGCTTCTGACTGACAGAGTAGGTAAAAGCCTGTTTTTACAGCAGAACCAAGGAGGTACTCTACAAGAGAGAGAAGAAAACTGATATTGACAACATTGATATGGCATGAGAGAAGTCCAGTCATTTGGAGCACACAGATTTTTATAAGCCACGTATGTAAAATACCTCACCACTTAATTATTGGTTTGGGATCTAAATTAGAAGCCTGAAAGCTTCTATTGCAACTATTTTAATACAATAGTGCTAGAGCTTTCTTCATCCAATTGAGGATATATTATTGTATTAGTATACTTATTTCAGTATTTCATACATATATAGCAATCTGTGTCCAAACGATGCGTAAGTATATTCTTTATTTTTAACTTAGTAGAAACTCCTATGTAAAGCGATGCTAATTATTAAAACCATCTGTTACAGTAAACGTTCAAATCCTCAGAGACAGAACTGTGTCCTTGTTTTATAAAAGGCCTAGCACATTTCAGATGTTCAAATTAAAAGAAGTGGTTAACAAATAATTGAGAGATCACTGAATAAGTTTGTAGGTTTTCTTCAAAAGAAAATATGAGCAAGAAACTAGAGTAAAGCAAAAGAAGAAATCTCTGGAAACAGTAAAGAAGATCACAGGTGCAAAAAAAGCTAAACAATTATTATCAGAAACTAGACACATGCAGCAGCATTGCTATAAATACTACTTCTATTAAATTAGAGATGACAGCAGCCCAAAGCTGTTTCCTTTTTGAAATTAGCCAGTCTAATCCAATTCCCATTAAAAACAGAGGAAAAGAGTAATGTTTTTTAGCTGAAGTCAGATGAGACTCAGTCAGAACAGCTAAGAGTTTATTTTACCTTCCTTCAAATTACAATTTTATAAAATCAGTTTTTTAACTGAAACTGTGCTCCTTAGAAAGATATAAGCAATATCCAGTCACTGGTGCTGCAAGCAGGTAAGTACTCCTCCTTTCTCTAGTTGTCATATTAGTTGTGTTAAAGGTCTAACAGCAAATGACTTAGGTGAAATCCCAAAACCTGTTTGTAGCAACTACTACAGCACTCTCGGTGCATTCAGAGCTTTAAGTCCAGGAGAAAAAGCTGCCATCACAAAGATGCCACAACACAAGTATTTTCAAAGGCACAAATACTAAGTTTTCCCTATCAAAGTATAGTATGATCATCTCCCACCTGGAAACACAAAATTTCACATTCTAAGAAGGAACAAATATTTTCCTCGCATCCCAGTTATCTGGCTTTTCAGAGAATCAGCCCCTTCCAATTAATTCTTTGAATATAAATATTGAGATAACATTGGATAAACAGAGGAAATGGAGCTTTTCTCACTACTAGTGGGTGTATACATGACTAGCACACGCTTTACTCCAAAGTCAAAGCAAATTGCCCAGTACAGCAGTCAGATAAAAAAAAATCAGAAAGTAAAAAGTCTTGCAGAACCATCTCTTTTCTGACAAACTAAAAACTTACATTAGAAGAGATTTCCTATTAGCATAATCAGCAATTGGCATAGCAATTACAAACAAAAATTTTTACTGATAAAATACACAGTAAGTGACAATGATATAATTTGCAGATTTTGTTTTACACCTCACAGAGATGCAGAGTAGTCATGTTTGAAGGAAACTGATGAATAGCTTTAGTTTGACTGATTTTACAAGTTTGCTAAACTTTAAGACCCATAACTTGAAGTAGAATATAATGCATTATAAAATGCATGATGAAGAATTGAAATGCTTGCATTTTTTTTAATAATTCAATTGTGGTATAAAAGGATTTGCTCATTTTAGGCTTAAATATAACATAATAGGTGTTACTACTTGGAGAGTACTGGATCTGGGAAGTGCTTGGTGTTGTAAAGGTGATCTCATTTTGCTTCAGGGCAGAGCTTTCCAAGGTAAACCTGAATAGCCCCACATGAATATTCAATGTTTAAATTTCAGTACTGCATGAACATAAAATCCATAGAGCATTTACATCTACAGCCAGAAACTAACTTCAAAAGTTATAATACTATCTATAAAAACAGTACTTCAAAGGAACTTTACTTTAGAATTTAAATATTATGCAAAAATCATTATACTATTCAGTTAAACTGTTTACGAGCAAGATCATTTTCATTCTTTATCTAACTTTCTGTTCCAGTCATTATCTTCTCCATATTAAAAAGTCAAAGAATTTCCTAAAAGGTAAACAGTAACAACTATATTTAACCAGATACTATATTTGCCTTCATTTGATAGATCTCAAATTGATAGGCAATTGCCAAAAGAGAAATGCATTGATTGTTTTGGTTCCTAAACATGCTGGTTCTATGTTAAATTAAGGATCCTGGTCTTGACAAGAGACAATTATGCAATTCTAGAAAAAAAACCCAAATGTTTGCCCCTTCCAGAGAGTCTTTTAAAAATTGGTCAATTAATCATAAAGTTGTACTAGAAAAGTTACTTGTCCATCAAGTTTAAGAATCCAGCAAGTATATTTTTAGAACAGTTTACCACATAAGCTTTATCTTCATAAGCAATCAGCTCTTCTAACAAATAATGCCCTACAAAGTGTATTTTAAAACCCTCTCACTTAGAGCCAAATATTACCACAGAATTACGCAAAGTAATGAATTCACTATGGTTATACTCCTCACATGCAAACAAGTTTGGAAGAAAGGCAATACACACTGCCTTAACAAGCAGAACCTGAAGTTAGTCATCTTTGAGCCTGAGATTGTTTATCTTCTACCTGATACCAGAATAAGGCCCAAACAGCAACAGCACTTCCAAAGAATAGTACCTGACAAGGATCAGTGTGCAGTAACATAACAGCACTGTCAGACACTTAAGGAAATACTTTTTGCAAATCTGGTTCTTTGCATCATTAAAAAAACAATAAAAATAAAATGGTTATTCTCAAAGCAAAGGAAAGCTTTTACATTTTCAGAATTATGCACACACACGTATATATATTAAAAGACAACAACAGAAACGGTGGCTTCAGGTTGGAGAGAGAATAACAGTAGCTTCAATACAAAGCCACTGTGCAAGTTATTTGTAACACTGAAATGAAGTTGACACCTATGAAGGTTTTTTTTAATTGCATGAGCATTATGCAACCTCCTTCAAGCTCAATCAAGCATTCAGTTTCCAAAAGCAGCTGAGCTGTGCTAAGGAAAATAAGGAACTTCCTTGCTACGTACACTGGCCATTGAATTTAAAAATACAGAAGAGCTCACAGATGATAAATGAAATACTTTGAAGCATTTTATCTAGTTTACACAACAGAGAATGGTATGTCTGCACAATTTATTCTGAAGCTGTATTTCACATAGTTTCTCAGAAATGCTCATAGCAGAAACCAAAGGAACAGAAAGCTCAATTCAATGTCATTTGCAAAATCAATCCTGTACAAAGGTAAGCTAAGTCTTCAATGGGTCTATTTATACTCTGGAGTCCTAGTTCTGCTCTTGTTTACAGCAGTGTAAACCAAATTAATCAAACAAGATATTACTGTAAGCAAAAGAAGATCTGGTTATTTTAATAGGATTTAATAAATTGATTCCATCTTCCACTGTAATAAGCCAAAGTGAGAAGCACATGGCTCTTACAGAGTTTCAGTACAAGGCCTGCTTTGTCTCTGTTATGACTGAAAGGTGATTTCTGAGAAAAACAAAACAAAACAACAAAGTCATGCCAAATCAAGTGTAACAGTCAGCTGTTGCAAGTAAAATCTAGCAGTCAGCATAAACTGTATTTTTGGGAGCAGATGAGGTTGTGTCTTATCAGAAAGGCATTAAAGTAACTGTCAAAAAACAAGAGTAAAAAAAAAGGATGATACCCATGTTAGACTACATTAGAAAGAAGAATCAAAGAATCTTCCTCTCTATCTCCACTTCTCCATTACTCTGGTTTTAGTTGTTGAGGTGGAAGATATAAAAAAGAATTTTGTTCACATTCTTAAGTCTCCTACCTCATTATTTGGGTCTTGAATGACCTTATAAAGAGCTGGTACCAGTGATTTTTTTCGGTGCAATGTAGCTGCATAGCTGGAAATTTGTGTTTCAGGTAATGCCTAAAGAAAAGAAAAGTATTAACCTGATAAATTAATACTTCCAAATATTAAAAATGTCCACAAAAGGATTCAGTCTCATCCCAACATGAAGAAAAATTCCTGACATTCAGCAATTGCTGCAGTTGTAAGCCAGTTCATTCAGTACAAGTTCTTTTCCATATGAATAGCATTTGAGGGCACACACCAACTTCCATGATAAAATCCAGAAGCAGTTTCAGATTTATCTTTCACAAAATCATTTGCTCCAACTTGATATGAGGACTCTCCTGATAATCTTTATTTAACACACACATTTCAAAATCTTTATCGAATCAACTCTAATTATTTATGAGGTGTGGATAATCTAGAATGAGCATGGACAGTCTCCAGTCCCACCAAGCAATCATGTCTGTAGAATCACAGAATGTTAGGGGTGGGAAGGGACCTCCGGAGATCATCAAGTCCAACCCTCCTGTCAGAGCAGGACCATCTAGTCTAGGGCAGGTCACACAGGAACACATCCAGGCGGGTCTTAAAAGTCTCCAAGGAAGGAGACTCCATGACCTCCCTGGAGAGCCTGTTCCAGTGCTCTGGAACACTTACAGCAAAGAAGTTCTTCCTCATGTTGAGGTGGAACTTCCTGTGCTCCAGCTCATATCCATTGCTCCTTTTTCTATTGCAGAGCATAAGTCAAAAAGAGGTCATCCTTTTCTTCTTGACACCCAGCCTTCATAT